CGTGCGGTCTGCGTGGGGGCCTGTAGCACGCAGGACGTGCGGTCTGCGTGGGGCCTGTAGCACCGGCCTTGAGGTGTGCTGGCTCCTTACCAGCCCTGACTGGTCCCCAGGCAGGTGTGCTGTAGGTGAGCATTAGGCCAGACCAGCAGTGCCCACGCTGGGAAGGGACTCCTCCACATGGCCTGTCACATCCTTGAGAAATCCTCCAGAGGGCGCCAGTGCCCTGGAAATGCCAGGCCGGACCATGTCTGGGGCAGTTGGCAGTAGGCTACCGGTGGGGAACCGTGGACCCGGGAAGAGCACCTCCTCATCGCCTTTCCTGTTGTTTGGCTTACAGCCGAGAAAGTGGACGTGATCGCCGGCTCCTCCAAGATGAAAGGCTTCTCCTCCTCCGAGTCAGAGAGCACCAGCGAGTCGAGCTCCTCAGATAGTGAAGACTCGGAAACAGGTCAGGGGACTCTTGTTTAAGATCTGGTCCAAAACTTCCCCAGTCCATGCCAGGTACCGGCACCAGCCCTGCCTCCGTCCTGGGCTAGGCTGCTGGAGAGCCCAGAGACGGTCGCCGCTCTTTAACGCTGTCTCTAGGCGGCCCTCCCCCATCCCCGCTGAGGCCTGCACCAGGCCGGCATGGGACTAGAGTCCCTCTCCCCAAGCCTCCTGTCCAGGAAAGACTGCGCAGCCCACAGGCTTGCCAGTCCTGTAGTCACGGGCAGGGCCACAGCGCAGGGGAGGTGGTTGGTTGGCAGGTGTCCCGCAAGAGTGGAGCGGAACTGGGCACTGGTGGCTCACGCCTGTCATCCTAGGTACTCAGGAGGCTGAGATCTGAGGATCACAGTTCAAAGCCAGCCCAGGTAGAAAAGTCCGTGAGACTCCTATCTCCAATAAACCACCAGAAAACCAGAAGTGGCGCTGTGGCCCAAGTGGTAGAGTGCTCACCTTGAGCTAAAGGGCTGAGGGACAGCGCCCAGGCCCAGAGTTCAAGACCCACAACCAACAAAAAAATAAAGGCGCGGAGCTGCCTGCAGCTGGCAGCCTTGGCGGCAGGTCCGTCCCCGGCCTGCTGCTAATGCTTCTCACCAGACTGCGCCACAGCTGCGCCCCACCCCAGCGTGGGCCTGCCTGCTGTGCAGCTGCTGCGGCCTCTCCCCAACTCCACACCTACCTAGACGCGTGTAACCTGCAGCCTGTGTGTGCAGCACGCAGTCCCCTCCCGCATGCACACACACGTTGCACACCAGTACCAAGGCTTAAACTCAGGGCTCCAAGCTCCTACTCAGTGTATTTGCTTGTGCCTGGGGTTCTAACACTTAGACTACGTCCCCACTTGTGGTTTTGGGTGGTTCGTTGGGGATGAGAGCCAGCCAGGTTGTCTGCTTAGGCTGCCTTCAACCTTGACCCTCAGATCGGCCTCGCCGGGGCCTGGCTTGCTGCCCTGCCGAGCTCTGTGGGCCAGCCCCGGCACCCTGGCCAGACCCACCTTTTGGGCAGCAACCGGGAAGCCAGAGGAGGAACAGTGCTGGGAGCTGGATGAGCGGTGGAAGAGCACAGTACCGCCGCTCAGCACACTAGGGAATGGAGGGCACTTGAGGGACCTGCGTGTGGCTTGTGCATGGGGTGGGCTGGGCACACACACTCCAGGCCGCCTGCGAGCCAGTCCTGGTGCAAAGTGTTTCTACCAGGTGGACCGGGGCTTGGGCCACAGTGGGAAATGCGTGTCTGGTTAGGCAACCAGGTGGCTGGCGTGTGCTTCCGTGGGTCTCCTGCCTCCGACGTGCTGGGAGTAGCAATCACAGTTCCGGGAGACCCCACCTCTGAGGCGCTCACGGCAGGCTCAGATGCTGTGGGGCTTGGGGTGGGCCGGGGTCTCCCCAGGCCTGGACGCAGAGCCCGCGCCCTGCAGCCTCCCAACCTTTCCAGCCCCCTCAGCCGGCAGGGGGTGCTGCCCTCCAGGCTGGCTGGGAGGAGCCTGCCCCGTGCGGGCCGAGGGGGTGGAGGGGCTGTGCCCTGGAGTCCTGTAGCATTGTCGGTATCTCTGACTCTTCCCTTCTGCCAGCCAAGCGGCAGGTTCGCCTCTCCGCTGGGGTCTGCGTGACAGCCCCGGGGCTGAGCTAATCACCCGCCGAGGCCAAGGTCTCTGCCCCGGGCTCCCTTGTGGGCGCCCTGCACCCCTCCGGCCGCTGGGCTATTTTTTTAAGCCCTCCCCCTCCCTTCAAGGAAAGTGGGAAGATGGTGCAGAGAGTAATCCGAGAGCCCTGGGAACCGCTGTCTTGGCGGGAAGGAGGAGGGTGAGATTTACAGCCTTGGCTCCCAGGCCGGGGCGGTGCAGCCCTGGCCACCGGCTCAGCCGCCTGGGCCCAGGCTCTCCCCACACGCCCTCCCACGTGGGTTTAGCCTGGCTCTCTTTCTTTGTCTCTGTGCTGGCCAGCGCTGCTGCCTCTGAGCCGTGGCTTTTCCTTCACCTTCTGTGTGTGGCGGGGCTCCGTGGGCCAGCTGGGCAGGGCCGCTGGGAGAGCCGCAGCCCGCACTCCGTCGCGGAGCATGACCGCTGCACCCTCGGGTGCCTGGTCACCGCTGCGCTGCGCTGCGGGGCGATGGACGCTATTTCCTTCTGGTCTTCGGGGCTTGTGTAGCCTCCTTGCTCTTGTGATTCCACTTGGGTTGGAGCCGAAATATCTCAAAGGCCTACTTTTGTCACTTGTACTAAGGGTCATTTCTGCTGACACGGGTCTGGGACCTGAATCTCCAAAAGAAACCGAAGCAAAGCAGTCACTGGGGTCGGGAGGGTGGTGCGAGAGCTGTCTTCCGGCAGCGCGAGCTGCTGGGGCCCTGGCGCAGCTCGAACTAGGCTTAAGCGTGAGGCCGCCTGTGCCCGGAGGAGGCTTGGGGTGCTGGCCCAGCCGGCCCTCACCCTGCAGCACACTGAGCCCGGCTGCCGCTTGGGTTGTGTGATCTCTCACGGGGCTCTGCTTTCAGCCGCGCAAGGGGTTGGTGTCTGGCCAGGCGGATACCGTCTGGTATAGCTCGGGTGCCACTGTGCCACACCTCGGAAGGGGTCTGTGGCCAGACCTTCTGGCCGCTCTCCCGGGCAGGCTGTGGACAGAGCCGGGCCCTGCCGCCCGGCACCGCGTGCGGGCCGGGGCAGAGGGTGTCCTGGGACGCCCTGTAGGTCTCGGCCAGCACGTTGCTGGCTGCCTCTTCCGGAGGGGTGGGGCGGGCCAGTGCAGAGGCCTCCCTGTCCACAGCCACACCTCTCCCTCCGCCCCCACCTGCGCTGGGGCAGTTTGGGGGAGGGTCCCTCAGATTTTGCTCTTCTTTTCCACCTGCCCAGGAGCGTCGCCAGCCAGCTCAGAGTCGTGGTTTCCTTTTCCCAGGACTGGACAGTGTGGGCGTTTCTCAGTGGCTCCAGGGGAGAGGGGGATGCTTGGTGTTCTGAAAAGATTTGAGCTGGGAGGTGCAGATGGGCAAGGGGGTGCTCTCTGCTGACCACACGTCCAGCCCCAGCTTCCTGCCCCAAGGGTCTTTGAGGGACTCAGCGGGGCAGGGGGGGGCCCACAGCCAGGTGACTTGATGCACATGCACACACGGCCTTGCAGCTGGAGGGCTGGGGGCTCCCCCGGGTGAGGCCAGCCTTGTGGAATGTGGCCAGCGGCGAGAGGCGGGGTGGGCGGGTTTTTCCCAGGCGTGGGGGAGCATCCGTGACTCCAGAGACGCCACTGCTGCGTGGGTGGAGCCGGCCCAGCGGCCGCCCTGGTCCAGGAGCCAGGCTGGAGTCCCAGATGAGGCGGGAGAGGGGGACCATTTCCTCTTCGATCTGCTTGCTCTGTCTCTCTCGTTCCTTTCTTCTCTTTTCCTTCCTCCTCCCTCAGCTACATGTCACAGATTCCTCTTTATCCTGTGTGCCTCGGGGAGCTGGAAGGGTGCAGAGGCCACGTTCCCTCAGCTCGAGTCCTGCCTCGATCGCAGCATGGTGCCCACAGTGTCAGGCTTTTCTTCCTGGGCCATGGCCCAAGGGAAGGCTGGGAGCGGACATACCTGGTGGTGGTGAGCCTGGTGTCCCTGGCTGGGACAGGGCGGGGCCCTGAGCGGCCGTGGTGGGCACACGCACACACACAGGCAGGCACACACACGTGGAACTCGTCAAGTGAGGGCGCGTTTGTCTGGAGCACAGGCAGGTTCGGTGCACAGAGGATCTGTGGAGGTGGGTCTGTCCCCACCCGAGGAGGCCGGGGGCGGAGCTCCCCATCTCTGGTGCTGCTCTCCTGTGCCCTTTGGGCCACCAGGGCACAGGCTGGCTTGGTCTGCAGTTCTTCTGTTCTTGTGACTTGAATGGTACATTTCACACCACTTCTCTCACACTGATTTCTCTCTTCCTCTACGTAGGTCCTGCCTAATCACTGGACACGGACTCTTAATAAAACGGTCTTCAGTTCCAGATTCCCTCCCAGCAAGCTCTAGCTTAAGTCCCATTTTCTCCTGTGAAGGGACAGGACTCCATCGAGTTATGGAACTCCTCAGAGGCCTGGGCTGTCCCCGGGGTGGAGCGGTCACGCCGGCAGCACACGCCTAGTTCCCGCCTTTGGGAAGGCTGCTTGCCTGGCCTGCCTGTACAGAGACTGGGGCTGATCTGCCTGCCTCCCGTTCCCGGGCCTCTGGGTGGGTGGCACCTCCTGATGGGTGATGACAATCTCCCCGTGCCCGCTGTGGTGCTGCGCTGTGTGTGATACCCGATCAGAGTGCGTCTCCTCTCTCGGTCCCCCCCCCCCCCCTTTGTCTGAGACTCTGGACCTTAACTGCTCCCTTCCGGGACCTTGTGACTTTAGCCCAGGGAAGATCTGCTTCCGCCTCAGGAAGAGTGTGCTGACCTGTCCCAGGCTTTTCCCAGACGAGGAGGGGGCGCCTCCTACCCTCGAGGGCTGGGCAGTGCCACCCCTGGCTGCTTGACCCGCTGGGGCCTGCACGCCCCTCAGCCTCCTCCAGGCCCTCCGGTCCCCATCCCCGTCCCTGTCCCCGTCCCCGCGTGGCTGAATGCTTAAGCTGGTGTAATGGGCGTTTTCCCGGCTTCTTTATCTGCTTCCCTCAAGTCCCATAGGGAGAGTATCTTCTGGGCTGTTGGTGAGGGATACACACACACACATACACACACGCACGCACGCACGCACACACACACGCGCACACACACACGTCCTGCTCCCTTCTGATGCCCTGTGCACCGACCTCCTAGATGTCCGGCCTCCCCAGGCGAGGGCGGCCACCCCAGCTGACCCTCCCAGAGGCACCCAACAGGCTACTTTTCCCCCCGCTTTTTGCGCTAAAAATAAATGTAGGCCCTTTTTTGGTCATGAATCCAGCATCTGAACAGAAAGCCGCGTTAGGAGCAGCGTCTGCGCTCCGGCCTGGGCTCTTGTTCTTTCTTGCTTCAAGCGTACTTCACGTGTCTGCTGGGGCCCAGCCGCCGCACGGCGGACATGGACGCCTTGGAGGCTGCCCTGTCCTGGGGCTGAGCCAGGCTGGGGACATGCCACCGCCTCTCCTGCCTCCCTGGGTTCCTCTAGGCCCAGACTTGCTGTGGCCCCCCAGATGGAGCCCAGCCTCCCCAGGACCCCGCAGGACCCTGCAGTAGCATTCATGAGCTTGCAGGCCGCTCCTGATCCTCTCTGGGCTTCCAGTTTCCAGTCAGCCACGTTTGCCAAACAGACTATTTTCAGCTACCCTTTGGCCTGCGCCTGACGTGCTCCTGTGAACTTGGCTTGGCTGGGATGAGGGGCTTCATGCCCAGAGGTCCCACAGGACAGTTGGGAAGCTGCTGGCATTCTCTTTCTGGGAAGATTTCTGCTGTCTTGGACCAAGCAGCAGCCTAGCTTCTCACAGCATCCAGGCTGCCTGTCCCCCTGCCCCTGACCACACGAGTGTGCACCGCAGCAGCCACGGCCACCACCAGCCCTCCCGCCAGGGCCTCCTGTCCTTGATGGCCAGGGACGCAGTCTTCCTCGCCCGTCAGGCTTCCAGCTGACAGTTCGCTCAGGACCTGTAGAACTTGAAAGTGCTTTAGATTCACTTGTAGCCGACCACCGGCTCAGGCCTGTAATCCTGGCTGTTCACGAGGCTGAGGGGCTCAGTTTGAAGCCAGCCCTAGGCAGGAAAAGTCCAGGAGATTCTTACATCCAATTAAACCATCAAACAAGCCAGAAGTGGAGCTGTGACTCAAGTGGTAGAGAGCCCAAGGCCCCGAGCTCAAGCCCCAGTACCAGCACAAAACAAAAAAAGTGACCTGTATTTGGTGCCCTGGGAATAAGCCAGAAAGACAATGGGCAGCTGTTGTAACCTGTTCCCTGGGCACCAGGAGGTGCCACCCAAGGCCTCTGTCCTGGCTGCCCGGAGTCCCGCAGGAGAGCTGGCCGGCGGCAGCTGCTCCTCCCCTCCTCCTCTCTGCCCCCATCGCCCTGCCTTTTAGCCCTCTTCTCTCCCTCTCCTGGAGTGGGGCTGGGTGGGGTGGAAGAAATCAGTGTTTTAACTCAGATTTTGCAGAAACATTTTACTCCTTTGTACAATTACCATCCTGTGTAAAGCTGGAATTTGTGTTGAGTTGAAGATTGTCACGGAATAAAGATCGCACAGTACTTAAGGCCATCTCCATGGAAACCCTTTCTAGAGAGTCTTGTGTGGGGTGTCTCGGGCTGGAGTGTTGTGAAGCTGTGCGCTTCTTGTCTTGTCTTCTTACTAGTAACTGCCGCAGGGGCCTGGGCCGCAGCGGCTGGCGGGGGGGGCGGGGGGGGCTGTCCCACGTCCGAGCTTCTAGTCTCCTTGGGCCCCAGGATGCTCCCTGTGACCTTCTCAAGGCCGCAGACGTCTCCCTAGACGCCCACAGCTCCGCTGCTTGCTCCCACGCCTGCGCTGGTGAGGGATGGAGCCACCACCACCCCTCCTTACATAGATGAAAGACCACAGCGCGGCCGCGCCCCCCCCCCATACATTTTGTCTGCGCTCAGCCAGCATGGGGCACCTCCCTTAGGCTTGGCTCAGTGGCCAGGCCACGGCCCTAGCGGCCCCGCTCCCTGCCCAGCCCCTCCCACCACTTCCCTGCACTGGAATGGGCCAGAAGAGCCAGCCTCTTCCTCACGCAGTCCCCTGGAGCTTCTGAGACCTTGCCTTCCCTGGCACCCCTTCTCTCTCTGCAATTCTGGGGTCTCCAGCCAGTGCCACAGATGTTTGTGTCTCACCCAAAGAGTTCTGAGGTCTGGCACCTCCGTCTGGGTGCTGGGCTTGAGTTCACTTGTCCTAGATGTCCTCCGCTTCATTGGTTCCGAGGATGTGTCTGTGGCTGCTGAGTGTGTGCATGTGCGTGTGTGTCCTGGTCTTGTCTCTAGCTCGTGCCGGGCACGGGGTCCTGTCGCATCCCCGTAGGTGGCATGCTGCTGCCCCTCCAGGGCCCGGACATCTCACACAAAGTAGCCTTGTTGGGGAAGGTGTCATCCACTGACCCCCATGGCAAGCTGGACATCCTGGGCAGGAAGCTCAGGGACAGCCGGCCGTGGCCGTGCCTCGGGGCCCGCAATCCCGGAGACCCTGTTCCGAGCGCCCCGCTTCCCGCCTAGGCTTGCACACCGTCTTGTTTGGTGAAGGGCCACCCGGCTGGCGGAAACAGTTGAGCATAAGCTTTTGGGGTGGCAGCAGGGGTGGGCACAGCTGTGCAGAGCGGGCACAGCACGGCTGCCAACAGCTCAGGGCCCCCTCTGCAGCCCTTGATGCTGTCCCTCAGAAGGTGCCCTCGGGCCTGTCCCTCCAGGGTGAGGCAGCCTGTGCCCTCCGCTGGCTGTGGGCACCTCGCCGGCGGCACGCACGCCCTGCCCTCGCTTCCCACTCGCTGGCTGTGTGTCCCGGGGTCCATGGCGGCCCGGGCCAGCCCCGACGCGCGCCCACCCACCCGAGCTGCTCTGCTTTGTCTGGAAAGACGCCAGGGCCTTCAGCACCCATGCAGTGGGACCGCCGTGCCTCCATCCCCATCACTGCGTGTAACCCTGAACTAGCGTGCTCTCTCTCCTCACTCTCTCTGCAGTGAGTGGGGGTTTCAGATATCCCCGTGTGCTGGGCAGGCATGGGGCTCCCCAGCTCGCCTTTCGGCATAGGAATGGCGCCAGTGGTGTGAAGGCGGGGGGGGGGGATAATTCCCCATCACAGCGCCTCAAGACGCAGTGGGTGGGCAGGTGGGGGTCCCCCTCCATCGCTTCCCTCCACCCAGGGGTGACCGACTGATCCAAACCCGGCCTGGATCTTCTCACTCCATGTCACCTGCCCCCATCCTGCGCTGCCTTCTGCAGCTTTCTTCTCTTCCGTGTCCGAAGCCAGCTCACCCCCCCCCCCACTCCTCCAGAGCCTCACCACCTTCTCTTTTCTCTGCAGAGATGGCTCCGAAGTCCAAAAAGAAGGGGCACCCTGGGAGGGACCAGAAGAAGGTACGTCACTCCGGGAACAGGTCCCTCCCTAGGGGGTGGCTGGCGTCCTGCCCCAGGGCCTGGCCTCTGGCCTGCCTTGCCTGACATCAGCCTGTGTGTCTCTCTCCGTGTACACAGCATCATCACCACCACCATCAGCCACCGGCCCAGGCCCCGCCCCCCCAGCAGCCCCCCCCAGCCCCCCAGCAGCCTCCACCACCCCCACCACCACCGCAGCCACAGCCGCCGCCGCCGCCGCCGCCTCCACCGCCCTCCATCCCGCAGCAGGCCCCTCCTGCCATGAAGTCCTCGCCCCCACCCTTCATCACCGCCCAGGTGCCCGTCCTGGAGCCCCAGCTCCCGGGCAGCGTCTTCGACCCCATCGGCCACTTCACCCAGCCCATCCTCCACCTGCAGCAGCCCGAGCTGCCCCCTCACCTGCCCCAGCCGCCTGAGCACGGCACTCCGCCCCATCTCAACCAGCACGCCGTAGTCTCTCCTCCAGGTGAGCCGTGGCACTGCCCCAATTCTGCCGGGCCGTAATGTACGGGTACTTTGGGGCAACCCCGGGACCATTGGCATCTAAGTCAGAAGATGGAGTCAGCTGGTGGCTCACGCCTGTAAACCCAGCTACTCAGGAGGCTGAGATCGGAGGATGGAAGTGTCAAAGCCAGCCCGGGCAGGAGAGCTGGGAGAGTTTCCTCCCCAGTGAATCCCCAGAAAGTGGAAAAATGGAGCTGTGGCTTCAACTCCACTTGATGGTGGAGCTCAGAGGCCGCACCCAGGCCCCGAGTTCAAGCCCCAGGACCAGCACACCAGGATGAGTTAGTTCTCATCTCAGTAGAGCTAGGCCTTGGGTTAGTTTCCAAGGATGGGACCCCTCTGAAGTTTATAGTCATCTGGACAAAGGTCAACCTCTGGCCAGACGGCATGCGCAGGGACAGCCTGGCAGACAGGTGGCCTCTGGGAGTGAGGAGCCAGGGGGGCG